TATTAGTTATAAAAAAAATTTAACATAATCAAATTTAAGGGATTTACAGCTGTTACGCCATCTCTAGGATTATCAGAGTTCTATAGAGAACCCTTCACAACAGATGGTGAAGTGACACCTGTATCCAATCCTAACAACGCTGAAGAAATTATCTATGCCATCGATGGATTGAAATTGGGAGGCAAACATTTAGAGGTCGCGCATAAGGCTGGAGTATTTATTGCTGTCACAGCGCCTCTCTCGTCTGAAGGCGGACTTACTGGAGTTTCTATGGCATTTGAAACTGGTGCTAACACTGGTATAATACTTTAGGAATATCATCTTTGTGATTACCAGCAAGCACTGACTCGATGTTTTATTTCTTTAATAAGTCCTAGATTATGATCCTCAGCCAATTGTTAGGGAAAATGTAGCACTTCACGCACAGATAGGAACTAGATTCAAATCTAGTAATAAAATTCATTAATTATAAATATGTTCAATTTGCTATTTATTTCATTTATTCATGAGATTATCTTTTAATGAACAGCCACTATACCGACAGTTTCAGGTCAGATTGCTTTGATTAGAAAAACCTTGATAAAGAATCTAAAGCAAGATAATATCTTTGGTCGTGCTGCACGCGGGGAGATCCCCTTAGTAGTAAAAACTCATAGCAAAGATGAAATTGCTTCTTTGATCCGATTGAAAATTCAAGTTGAGAATAATGGTGGACGTTTAAACCTTGTGATACTGGGTGGTACTGAAGCATATATTCTTGCCGCTGAATTGGCTGAACATAAAATACCCGTAATACTTATCCCGCTCCGAGCTACTCCAGAGTTATGGACAGCTCAACATGCGTTAACAGGGGCACCTATTACCAATACAACTGGAATTGATATTCTTTATTCGAATGGAGTTAAGATAGGAATAGGTGTGGTAAAAGCAGGTTTGGAAAGAAATTTAATTTGGGAAGCTGGCTGGGCACATATAAATTCTAGAGGATTGATTTCAGAAAAAGATTCATTCGGATTT